AAAAAAAAAAAAAAGGAAAAAAAAGGAAGTTTTCCTTAAATTTTTTCACTAGGAAATGTCTACAAATCGTTTCATGACTTCAGTATCAATGCTGTTCTGCACCTTCTTATTTTCACTGTTCAAACACTACAACATCATTGATTATGCAAAAGTATTGGCAGAGCTTACCGGAAGTTTTTCAATATTAAATATACTTTTCGGCTACTAATTAATTTAGCTGTTGGCAGAAATTTTAAATGAAAGGAAGTATACGGTAAGAATGCTTTTTATTTTTCCTTTCAACTGTCATAATATGAAAAAATGTTAGATTTTTGTCTCTGATTATACTAGCAATATAGCATCAATAAATCATCATTGGTTGGTACTTATCATACTTATTTTTTTTTGTACTTGTTATTTTATTCGACAGTTTAAAAAAAAAAAAAAAAACAAAAATAAAAGTTAGTTAATTAACATTTTTCTAACTTACTGTATCTAAAATTGTTTTGTTTAAGGCACATACAGGTTTTTTGCTGGTTGCATTTGTGTACAAAGTGGCAAAAATTGATGTAAAAAATCACAGTTTTGGTAATATATTCTCTTTTGTTTTCCTATTTTTTTTGTGTTGCTTTTTTTCCTGATTTTTTTTTGTCTTTTGCACCAAATCGCTGTTTGCTTATTATGTTCAGAGTTATGTGAAAATTGTCTAAACTTTTTTTTGCTTGTTGCAGCCAGTTAGTATGACGTTTGTCTGGCCAAAAAAATTCAATAAAATTTAAAGCATTTAAGTTTTATTCATCAGTACGTATCAATCAGCGTTTGAAAATAGGAAAAAAAAAAGAAACCTATGCAAAATTCAAAAAAAGCTGTACCATTTATCTGCTCCAACAATTCAACATCTTGTTTTCGAGCCAGTAAAATTCAATGCAAATCTCCGGATGTTGAGTTTATTCATAGCGCTAGACAGCATTGCAAATATTTAGGAGTTTCAAATACAGCTTTCCCGATCAATTTAAGGTGAGATTTGCTTGCCGCAACAAAAAGGTAAACGAAAATACCGCTATAGCCTAGTAAATTTTCAAATTGCAAGGTTTTTAACAGGTGTAAACACCCTTTGTTGTTTTATTTGATTTCTTGAGCACAGTTAGCGATTTAAGTTTAAAAAAGCAAAAATCTGTATATTCTATTCATAAGAATGAAAAAAAAAAGCTTTTTTCACAACTTCGTAATATTTTTTAGAAAATGCAGTACCATATGAGTACAAAAAACTTACACAAATATTTTTTAACAATGGAATTTTAATTTTTACACCGAAAGCTTAAGTTGTAAAAATT